AAATATTAAAAATAATTATTATTGAGTTTTATTTTCTCGCTCAACAGAAGTATGTAATTTGTATTTGATTTTTATTTTTCCTTCGAAAATAAAAATTATTATTGAGTTTTATATTTCCACTTAAAAATAATCATTCATTATAAAATTGAAAAGGCCATACAGACGCAATCTACTGAAATTTTGACCTGAAAATTTTGGGACTTAAAATTTTGAAACTCTAAAAATAATATGTCGGAAATCACGCTGGTATAGCTTTTGAGTATTTTGAACGATCATTATTCTTAAGTGAAAAAATAAAACTCAGTAATAATTATTATATTTGAGCGAAAAAAAATCATCAAATAATAATTCTTTTTGATGGAAAAAATAAAAATCAAGTAGTAGTAATTTGCTTTGACCTGAACCCAGGGTTTACGGCCATATATAAAGATGGTTCCAAGCTTAACAAGAAAGTGGGTAGCGGGATCTACTCTGACGAACTCGCGCTAAACCTCAGTTTTCGCTTACCGGACCAATGTAGCGTTTTTCGAGCAGAATTTAACGCCATAATGGAGGCGGCTCGGTGGCTCATAACCTCCGCCCCTCCAGGACTTCTATTCTGACAGCCAAGCTGCTATCAAATCTCTCAATTCTAACGGAACAACATCCAAAGTAGCCATAGAATGCAGGAATACTCTCAACTTGCTGGCATAAAAATGTTCCTTGACTGTTGCATGGGTCCCTGGACATTGGGACATTCCTAGCAACTACCTATCCGAAGATCTGGCAAGGAGGGGGACGGAAATATCTTAAGGTAATTCTGCTCGGAATGCGGGCATACCTCTAACCTCCTGCAAACACAGACAAAGGCGGAACTCGTCGAGGAGGTAAATATTGTAGTGTCATAAGTTGATACAAATATATATGTATGTACACACACTTTAATTCTTTGATACTTGTTAAGAAATAGTTTTTGTTTCTGTTGAAGATTTTACATTCAGAAAAATTTCATTGCTGAAAATTATTATTGATTCAACGTTCAAATTGTTAAGACATGTTTATCTAAATAAATTATAATTCTATTTAAAAAATAATAATTTTGTAATTCTAGTATAATTTAGAACCTTTAGCATTTTATTTAAAGAAGTTAACTCCCGCTGAATCAAAGTATAGTACATTTGATCGGGAACTTTTAGCGATTGATGAGACAATAAAACATTTTAGGCATTTCTTGGAAGGTAGAAACTTTACTGTGTACACTGATCATATGCCCTTAACTTATGTTTTAATTTCACAAACTGAAAGAAGTCCTAGACAAATTAGGCATCTGGAAAATATTTCGCGGTTCACTAATAATATTCAACATATTTCCGGCAAGAATAATATAGTTGCAGATACACTTTCGAGAATTCCAGAGATTGAAGCGAAGAACAAGAACTTAATTTCAAAAAATTGTATTTTGGACAAATGAAAGATAAGATAGTAGAAATTAAAATACACTTTTTGAATTTTAACATTTATTGTGAAGAAAGCAATGGGACTACTAGGCCTTACATACCAAATAGTTTACGGGGATAAGTACCTATGTATTTGACAAATTGCATAGTATAAGTCAGTGGTGTCCAACAGAACTTGGACAAGGGGCTACTTTGAAACTATCGCTATAATACGCGGGCACCGCTAGCTTAACTTCAATCTTAACTGCGTTAACTCGTTTCACTCTTCTTATATTTATTGTATATATTCTACTATTTGAACCTTTTAAAATATTTATTTATTATTAAAGTTTATACAGTTAAGTTAAATTAATAACAGTGCATAATATTTTAATGAAGAACATTCTTTTTATTGTAAACATATAGGAATGTGCTGCAATTCGTACGATTTGAGATCGATGCGATCTGAAAAACCTTCTTCGGAGATAGATTAACAAAACGGAAAAATTTGGTACTGAATGGATAGATATAACGTAAGTTATGTGTTTCTCGCCGTTTTCATTTGAAATATTTATTACTTTCCCCAAAAATAATCAAAAATAGTTTGCAAATCGCACCGATTTCAAATCGTACGACTCGCAGCACATGCCCAATAAACTTAATATGTGACACGTAAAGTTAAAAGGGACCTACGCTAAGAAAAAAAGATTTCGAGAAAAACGACTTTGAAGTTTACCAAGTTGATTTTGATGCTTCTGACATTGTAATGGATTGAAACTCGTTACTCGGGGGTTTTCGGGGTCGCTGATTACGAATCCGATGTTAGTTTTCCAAAATTCAAAATGGCGGATCCAATATGGCGGATGAAATTTCTAAAAATTGATCGGAATCGCTTGAAACTCATTACCCGGGGGTTTTTGGTGTCACTGGTTACGAATCCGATGTTCGTTTTTAAAAACTCAAAATGGCGAAAAAATTTAAATGTTGTTCGGATTCATGTGAAACTCAAAAATGTCGTTGATACCGAGGTAAGTGATTACGAATCCGATGTTCGAAAACCCCCGAGTAACGAGTTTCAAGCGAATTTGATTAATTTCAGAATAGTTTGTCAGATTTGATTTTTTTGTACTTTTTTTTGTGAAAGTACCTAACTTTGAAGTGAAATTGTGAAAAACTACTGCAGCTAGAAAGCTGCGGTTTATTGCATTGGAAAGAGTGGCCCGTTTACTATAAGAGTCGATGAAAAAGTGAAAACCGATTTTTTTCTGACCGTAGGTCCCTTTTAATTTTACGTGTCACATATGATGCTAGAATCTTCATATATTCAGATAACTTCTTAAAATCTGGTTTATATTGCACAGTTGTGCAGGTTAAAATCAAGGTATTTTTGACATGTTCGTCAGTCAGTACGTATCGGTATTTGTTTTTTATAACCATTGTGAAAAGGCCTGTTCCAGAAGAGTAAACGTCTGGAAATGTGGAAAGTTTTTCTTTGTCAACTGCTCTATCCATACATCGATTTCGAGATTGCAAAGTTGTATTGAAATCACTTAGTTTTGCAGTCACATCAGTTAAAAATGCTGCCTTTGGGTTTCAGGAAAATCTTTATTTCTGTCTTCATAGCTACAAATAATGAGAGCACTTTACCTTGACTCACCCATCTTACTTCAGAGTGGAAGAATATGTCACCGAATTAACTCTCAAATTCATCGAGCATAACCTTGTTATGGCTGAGTGTTTTTGCAAT